CAAATGATACTTTGAATATTACATGTTAATAACTTGATTGGAATTATAACCTTGAATTGACAGTTTGATACTTTGAAAATTTTGAGCCAGCCCTACCCCCAAGGGCTGTAGGTGCTAGTTTCAAATCCTTTTTAGTCTGAAATCTGTATGCTAGATATTGAGTAAGGTGGTTTTATTGTTTTTTGTCACTTTGAATAATATTTCTGTTCATGTTAAAAGCAAAATCAACTCTCTGTATAAATATATCAGGTGACCGTTACGGCCCATGGGCCTCTTGTTATGAATAACATGGTTTTGACAGTCCGTAAACTTTACAGTCCATAGCTTTATCGTAAATTCTTTTTTTACTGATTTCATGCTAGTCTACTTACGAAAGATGTTCATAAACACGGAATGGCGAAATGTCGTACTTTTGCATTTTATTTGTATCAAGGAATTAACAAGTGACAAAATGAAATTTGGATACTACGTTGGATTGACGCTATTGAAACCAATGTTTTACTTCGAGGTATCCAAGTTTTTCGACTTTTCAGGGTTCGAATTATCAGAGTTTTATTTACTAAGATAAAGAACAGATTTGGCCGGGACCGGAGAAATACTTCGAGATAAACGGGGTCTTTGAGTTAAAAGAGTTCGAGATAACGAGGTTCGACTGTATTTCAGTGTACATATAATTATTTAAGTAAACTGTGTCTTGTCATTCTTTGTCTCGACAAGCTCAAACAAGGGATATACATGTTTCGTATTTCCGTTATTAGTTCTATACAATGCTAGAATAGTGAATCCTGGTGAGTACGCCATTTGAAGCAAAGTAAGAAAAGAACTCCTGAATTAATGTTCATGATTTATGTTTCATGCAACATATTATTTGTGACAGGGAGTAGCACTGTACCGCCACATTGCTGATCTGGCTGAAAACAAGGATGTGATTCTACCAGTACCTGCCCTCAACGTCATCAATGGAGGATCCCACGCTGGCAACAAACTAGCCATGCAGGAGTTTATGATCCTCCCCACAGGTAAAAATCAACATTTATGTATCGGGCCAAGCAAGAAAAAAACGTTTTCCTTATATGAGTAAAGGGTTATAATCAAGGGTTCAATATTGAACTGACATAATCAAAATAAAGGTTTTAAGCTTCAGAACACCAGTCAGAAAATCAAAACATCATTTTAATTATCCCCTCGCAATGAAAGTCGGAGGGAAAATAATATTCAACCGTAGCGTACGTAACATATGTATGTTACACTCTTTGTCATCGCTCTAGCGACTTCATTCCTCAACGGTATTTCATGAAACTTCACTTGAAGTGTTAAGTATGACAATACCTTGGACAAATTCACATTTCAGGTTTCTATGATGAAGGTCAAGGTCACTGTTACTATTTTTAGAAAAACTTTTGTCATCGCTCGACCGACTCCATTCCTCAACGAAATTTCACCATACTAAAGCAACCAGGAAAATCATTTTGGGACGGTTTTCATGTACCTGGATTTGCTAACTGGATAGTACTTGTTACCGAACTACAACCGAGTACTCAGGTTACCCGTTCCAGCCCTAATTGTTATCGTATCTATCTTGTATTGTAAAGCAAGTAATTATTGTTTATGTGCTCTGTTGCAGGAGCTACATCCTTCAAGGAGGCAATGAGAATGGGGTCAGAGACATACCACCATCTTAAGGCTGTCATCAAGGAAAAGTATGGGCAGGACGGTAAGTGCGTAATATCAAATACATTGAAATTAAATTGAGGTAACTAAAAAAATACTTAATTTTTTTTCTCATATATTTTCATTTAGATGATATTCTATGCTGAATTTCAATAGAATTTGTTACTTTATGTCTCACCACCTTAAATGTAAAACTCAGTTACATGATACATGTACAACAAAATGTCATATTTTTTCAATAAGGTATTTATTATTTTATTTACAGCCTGTAACGTTGGAGATGAAGGTGGTTTTGCTCCCAACATCCTGGAGAACAAGGAAGGTTTGTTAGACTTTGTTGTGACAATGACTAAATCTTCAGCTGTTCTTGCTTAAGAGTTTTAGACATTGTTATTTTGGAGCTTATTTGAAATTGATAATGGCCACCATGGCAGCCATATTGAAAATGTTATTGGGGATTTTAAACTATATTCTACTGAAGAAATTCTGCCAAAAGTTAGTGTTGCTGACAAACTGTTGGTATTTGGTAACTGATTAAGAATTCATTATAGCTGTCGTAACATATGCATTCTATTTGGAGTTTCGATATTATTTTGCTGAAATTTAGGGGGCAATTTGGCTGTATTGTTATAAACATCTCCTTCTGTAGAACTATGCCATGGATATTGATCATATTTGGTCGGAAGCATTCATGGGAGGCAGGGATTCAAAAATGTACAAATGGTGGGGCTGATCCCCTGGGCTAAGGAGTGGGGCCAATCAAGTTTATTACTTGGAAATGGTTGAGATCCCCACCATATATCCATATATACTATTGCTGAGTATAAAGAGAAGAATGCACATTTGCTTCCAGGATGTCCCTAGGGTCTGGCCCCACCCTTGGAAAAATAGTCCCTGGGCCATAACTTTGTAACAGTTGAGATCCCCACCCCAAAACTATATATACAAATGCTGGGCATAAAGATACGAACGCAGTCATGATATCAGAATAGACCCTGGGGTCTGACCAAACCCCTAGGGACCTATTTTCTTAGTCACAGCTTGGAAACAGTTGAGATCCCCACCCCATAACCATACATACAATTGCTGGGCATGAAAAATCTAATACAGATATGCTACAAGGATTGGCCTTGGGGTCTGGCATATTGCCTTGGATCTCATTTGGAGAATATATAAGTATCAAGGTGACAATACAGGCCCTCTGGGCCTCTTGTTGTTAGTTATACCCTCCTGTAACTATGGACGAGCGTGACAGTGCAAGTGTGGTGTAGAATGACACTAAGACTAGATTACAATATATACAAAATTTAATTTATAAATTATACACTTTGGTTTTGTTATTTATAAGTATAGTATAAAACTTTGCTTTCTCACTCTCACACATACAGCAACATAAGAATCACACAAAGCAGATATATATACTAATACTGAAATCACACAGGTAAACTATACACCAATACTGGCAAAGTCAATGTATCGGTCACTATGTGAAATCACTGCCTGGATACAGTGATCATGACAAGGCTCGTCCACCGCAATCTGTATTCACTGGTACCGTCTCTCCTCTTGACGACCTTGACCTTAGAACTCCTGTGCTGATGCATATGAGGGGTTTCACGTAATGAACAGTCAGACCAACTGACATAAAGTGTCCATAGAGAGCATGGTCCGTCCCCATAAAGCAAATCTCATCTGTTGAATGTAATATATTGAAACGTATGGATTGTCATGTAGTTTTCATTGACTGCAGGTTTACAATCAGTGCATTATGAAATCACAAATATTTTGCAGGTCTGAATCTGTTGATTAAGGCTATTGAGTTGGCCGGCTATACTGGCAAGATCAAGATTGGTATGGATGTGGCTGCCTCAGAGTTTTACAAGGATGGCAAATACGACCTTGACTTTAAAACCAAAAATGGCGATGACAAGCTTAAGGTGAGTCGTATCTCTTCATGATGTAGTGATAGCAAACTGTGTACATCAAAGAAAGATTGACAACGGTTTATCAAAATTAAAAAGGTTAGCTTTGACTGATTTCATAGTTAATTGGATTCTGTGAACTTGGCTTGCTAAAGATAACTAAATGAATTTTTAGAGGAATTATAGGATTGAAACACATTTGTGGCATACCACTTTTAGATCTTTACACCCAAGGTTAGGACCACATTGAGGTCAAAGGTCAAATTCATTTTCTTGGTCATAACTTCTGACTTGCTGAAGATGGCTCTTTTAAATTTTATAGAAATATGTCGAATGGCAAGGATTTGTGTTGCCTACCCTTTTTGGGTCTACGTGTCAAGGTCAAATTCTCATGAAGTTCAAAGGTCAAATTGTTTGTCCATGCTTTAACTTGTATATCTCCAATTTAAATACAAGTTGAAAACATGCCTTGTTGCATACCACTTTTGAATTCTTAGCTCAACTGGTCTGAAGGATCAAGCTGAGCTTATGCCATACTGTGGCATCTGTCCATCGTCCGTACATAGACAATTTCTTAAAACGACCTTTTCTTCTTAACAACTGATTGGAATTTAACTAAATTTGACTGGAAGCATTCCTAGGTGGTGGGAAAAATTGTACAAATAGTTGAGCTGACCCCCCAGCATACATGCCATAACTTTTCGGTTCAAAATAGTTAGATCAGTGATTTTTTTCAGTGAGATTTGGTCAAAATTAGTGAGATTTTTTCTCTGAATTAGTGAGAAATTTGTGAGACATTTAAAACATAAATTATACTACATATAACATTGTATTATTGCCTGACCTGTAATTTAAGTGGCTGGCGTGTGACTTCAGACCTCTTAGTGACCTAGGTCAGTGTGAATCCATGTAGCTATTGTTTATTCACTAAGATTGACCAAATTTAGTTTCTTTTCGTGAGACCGATTGAAATTCGTGAGAAATGGGTCTCATGCCGTGAGGATTTTTTCGGAAGCAATTTTCGTGAGTTTCACGCCAAAATCGTTAGATATGGCATGTATGCCCCAGGGGGCTAAGGAACGGGGCCAAAAAAAGTTTATAACTTGGAAAATGGTCGAGATCCCCACCCTATAACCACAATTACAATTGCTGAGTATAAAGAGATTTAATGCACATATGCTTCCATGATCACTCTGGGGTCTGGCCCCACCCTTGGAGTCTTAGTCCCTGGGACATAACTTTGAAACAGTTAAGATCCCCACCCCAGAACTAAGTATAGAATTGATCGGCATAAAGAGACAAATGCAGTCATGAAATTAGATTTGACCCTGGGGTCTGGTCACAACCCTAGGGACCTAGTTTCTGAGTCACAACTTGGAAACATGTGAGATCCCCACCCCATAACCAATCTGGCCCTATCCCTGGGATCTTATTTGGAGAATATTTTGCCATGATTGCTTAGATATCCAATTGAGCGATACTGGGCCTCTTGTTTCACTTCAAACAGTTCATTAATTTCGGAGATAACTATAGCACCAGGAATGAACAATTTCAAATCAAGATATGTAACACATAACCTTTATTCCAATTCCAATGACCTTTTCCATAATCCATCAGTTTTACTGATTTTCTTGTTTTCAGATCAGTTCTGATGAATTGACTGCAATGTACATGGAATTTATCAAAGAGTACCCTATTGTGTCCATCGAGGATCCATTTGACCAAGATGATTGGGAAGCATACACAAAGATGACAGAAACAGCCGGAATCCAAATTGTTGGGTAAGACTGATAGACTGCAAGTGTTTAAAGTAATTGGAGCTCCAGGGCACAATACTGTCGGCCTAGGATGCAATATAGATATTCTTACTTGTTTTATGGTTTAAAAAAAAATGGAAAATAGACAATGGTATTTCTATCACAGAATGATTTTCCTATGAGTTCACCACTGTGTGACATCCATATTGTTGAGTTAGATACTGTACAACACGAAATGTTCGTGGGTACTTTCCTTCGTGGTTTGACGCTATTTAGATTGTTTCGTGGTACAAACTTTCTTGGACATTCAAATTCGTTGTATTTATTTCCATGGTTCAATAGCAACCACGAAAACCATGAATGTTTATACCCCACAAACATTTCATGTTATACAGTAATATGTTTTCAAAGAAATATTTGTTAACGTGAGTCCGTAAATACGAAAATAGAATGAAATCCTGTTTAATTGCTTGTAACCTAACACCTTACAGCATATGGCGAGAATAGGATGAGGTATGTAATAAAATGGGACGAACCATCAAACTATAATTGGACCGTTTGTTAATGAGTTTGATTTAACCCACTTATTGGTTTAAGTTAATTCACCTAAAGGTTTTCAGAGGAGGTTGTGTCCTATATATGGTTTTGTTTATATCTTCATTTGCTGTAGTCACAGAATGGTCCTTTACCACTCTGTTTTAAAGTAATTTGGGAAGCCGCCACGTACTGGCCGCAGGTGGTATTTCTCCTCCACCACCATTTGGGTCATGTTTCAATGACCGTAGCTGTTAATAAAGCAAGAACATACAAACATAACTGTTTTATAGTAATATTCTTGCTAAGAGTTCATATTGAAAATTGCACTACATGAAAGTAAACTTGAAATAAAGAAGAATACTGATTGAAATTCTTGTAAATGGAATGTGATTTGTCATCGACCATTAACCCTTTCAGAAACACTGTCGACCATAATGGACTCATCCAAATAAATGTATGGTAGAGTCTACTAAAGTTACCTAGTGGTGAAAGGGTTAAACATACGATAGAAATAACATAAAAACTTAACAGTCTGCTTTTGTTTCTATATAACAGTGACGACTTGCTTGTGACCAACCCAAAGCGTGTCCAGACTGGGATCGACAAGAAAGCTTGTAACGCGCTTCTCCTCAAAGTCAACCAGATTGGAACTGTCAAGGAGTCCATTGATGCGTAAGTTGGCTCTGTGTATCTGTATAAATAACATCTCAGGTCAGGTTAATGTCAGAAGTTCTCTTCATAAAAGTAGGGTCAGTGTGTGTTAAGTTATATTGACAAAACACAAGAGGTCAAAACATTCAAAAGCCTAAATTAAACAGGAAGTCATCGATAAGAAGGGTTCAAACAGTTTTCCACAAGATAGCTTTCATTCAAGATTTAAAATGAGCTAAATCTGCCAATAATTAATTAGTACAATGTACTCCGATTTGTTTGCCATTCCAAACAAATATATTGATAAAATATGACCAGATTCTGATGAAATTTGATCAATGTTTATACAAAGACAGAAGCTAAGTTCCAATATAAGTGAAAGCAAACTATGATTAAGTAGCATGCAAGAATTTGGTGGGCAATTCAAATCACCCTGCGCCTGTGGTTCGAACGTCCATCATTCCATCTATCCTTAAACAATTCTTGTTAGCGCTATTCATCAAAAAGTACTTAAGGGATCTTTCTCAGATTTCACATAAAGGTTAACCAAGATGCGGACAGGGGGCCATCTTGTTACAGTTTAAGTTTGTTATCGCTATTTCTCAGAATGTACTGAAGGAATCTTTTTTTTCAATTTGGTATGTAGATACTCCTTGGTTCTTAGTTGTGCATGTTAGTTTTTGAGGTTGATCAAAAGACTGATTAAGATGGCGGACAGGCAAATTGATTCAACNGTAATTATAGAACAATATGAGCAATAAGAAATCCTTCTGAAATTAGAGATTTCAATTGTATTTTAAAGTTATTAAAAGGCCCTGACCTGAATTTCTTTGGCTTGTGAAATATAAGATATCTTTTTCCACATTTTTTGTATTCAAGACATATTCAACTTTACAAAAATGAAAGTAATATACACTGCAATTCAATTGTAGTTTATTCTTGTTACGTTTCATTGCAAGAATGGTTAAGTCTTAAGTTGGTGTTACATAGCATGTGATCTATTTTTTTCCATGTGATGGCCGTAAACAAAAATTCTTCCAATGTACAGGTAACAATTAAATAATGGAAGTATAAGAGCCTATTGTTTTATTATTAAAGCATGAACGGTCCTGTTTTGCACTACAGTATAAACCAAGGCTTTGGTTGAACATAAATCTATTTTCCCCATGGATATATATCCCCCTTAATTCAAATTTCCACCATAGACAAAGTATTACAAAGTTCAACGAAATAAAAATCAAATTTAAGCTGAGGAAACCAGTTCTGTTTGTGCATGTCTAATACCTTGTCTGCAGGAAAAAATGACAATAATATATGGTTTGCTTTAACAGATGGAGGATGTCCAAGAAAGAGGGCTGGGGTGTGATGGTCTCCCATAGGAGTGGTGAAACAGAGGATACCTTTATTGCTGACCTTGTTGTGGGTCTCTCCACAGGACAGGTAAAACGGCACCATAATCATAATTATCACCGCTGCCATGGAAGATTTGGCATTAGTTTTCATACATTGTCTACTAAATCTCAATGTAAATGGATTGTGTCTAAACTTGATGAATGTATTCTGTTTTGTCAAAAGAAAACCTGAAGTTGAATCGCCAGTTCAGTCAATTCTGGGCATATTTTATGAAATTGCTGCATTCTTATTTCCATGTAAAATTACTGCAGTTTTCTTGAAACTTGGTCAATAAACATGTTTTAGGAAGATTAAGGCCAAGTTTGAAATTCATTAAATTTTATATTCAATAAGCTTAAGGCATTTTGATTGGTCATTTGGTTCTGTGTGATAACTTTTATAAGTATTATTCTAATTTCTCAACACGTTGTCATTGATTATACTATGAGAATAATATACTGAAGTCAAGATCATTTCTGTGCAATAATATCATATATCTCTTGATTTTCACAAAGCCTAGGCAATCTATCCCCTACTTTTGACCAAGTTCCTTTATTAAGGGACAAATGGTAGTAAAGTGCTGATGATCGATAATAATCTATAATTGATTGGTTTGCCGTCTCTGATTCCAATTATCCATTACAAATTCCATAGTCAATATAATTACTGAACTAAGTGTCAAATGTATGCAGTGTCAAGTAGGCATCGAAAGTCATTTCGTTTTTTTGGTTTTTATCCGAGGATTGAGGGTAATGTAGAAAACAGGCTTTGTAATAGTTGCTTGTAATCCGTTTATCATAAAAGAAGGAAATATAATGTGTTAACAGTATTGTCACTTAATATTTATGAGTCCCATAGAATTTTATGTTCATTTTGCAAACGATCATTACTTAAAAAATATGTACATGATCTGTCTCACATTGTCTAGAGATTGACAAATATGTAATAAATATGTTTTTACTGATTTTACAGATCAAAACTGGAGCTCCCTGTAGGTCTGAGAGACTGGCCAAATATAACCAGATTCTTCGCATAGAGGAAGAACTCGGTGCAAATGCCAAATTTGCGGGTGAAAAATTCTGTTTTCCATACTAAACTACTGGGAATTAGATGATTACAGCTGACACTGGCATATTTTTTTCATATCTGTTTTGTTAAAGATGTTATTAAGAGTGTATGATATTTATTGACCGAGGTAATGATGTATGGTTTCTTGAAAAGTGAACATTTTCATTACATTTGGTAACAGTTGCATTCCCCCTAATTCCCATAAAAGCTTTGTCTCAACGTCGCTGTTGAAATTGATGTAATGTGTTTAGCGTAATTGAATGACTGGCAGACTTCCTGGAAATGAACACAAATGAATGTTGCCGATTGTTTTTATCGGCAACAAAATGTTGTAAAATTACGCATTCTCACATTTAGTTCTTATCGTAACAACTAGTTGATGTGAAATTGTAGAGATGTAGAATAGTATATACCCATTTATACCCATCTTAGCTGTATTTAACTCAAGTTCAGTGTTATACAGTGTTGGAGTGATATTCTGTCACCAGTCTTGTGCCAGTACAACTAAACATATCCAGAGTGATGGGCTTGTCCTCAGAGCAGCGATTGTGCTAAGCTTACTTCCTACAATAATCCTAGTTTACTGAAGATGGATAAACTTTTATATGGAAAGGGAGACTGTAACAAGCTTCCTGTAAGTCACAATGATATATTTGAAGCACACTTTGAAGGTGAGACGCCAGAACTGTCCTCTATCCAGGGCCGCTGTCTTTATGTACGAGAGCTTTTACCACCTGTAAACAAAACGTACCAGGAAGTAAAATCAAGCAAAACTTGCCTAAGCTGCTTAAGGTCTAGCAAGTCTTACTCAAGCTGTCTCGGACAATGAGGGAATCTCCCATTTAGTTACAGCAACAAACTGATCCAGCAGTTCTGGTTCTGTAGACAATTAAGTCTAGTTATGTATAATAGTGGGTACCAGTACACTTAAGATTGTCTATTGAAACACCTTGGAGTCAAGTCATATCTGTCTTTAAACCTGAAATCGGTCACTAAGTGATTTGGACTTCTCATTGAACAGATAGTCCATTTATGTCTATATGTCCACATTTGAGGATAGTGTTTTAGCTAAGGTCAATTTTAATCTTTGCTCTACCAGCAGATTATAGTGCTAGACTTTTGACTAGAATATTTGTGAAGTTGTTTGTAAGGGTAAATTAACTGAAGAATATTTGTTAAAAGTTGTTCATAAAAGTTTATTGATTGGAGAATATTTGTCTTATATTGTACTGTACATACTTGCCAAATCTCTCTTGAAGCAAGTCCACTGATTTTTTAACTCTTATTTTGACTTTTGTAATCAACAGATTTCCCATCCTCTTCCATTTTACTGAAATTTGCAAAGAACAACTTATGTAATGGTATTTTACAATATTTGTCAGTAGGAGATCGGTATAAGTATTAAAGTATAAGTATAACAGTTCACTAAAACTGACAATGACCTGCAGACTCAAAAATTCTAATTATTCCCAGTTTCCCCTGCGTGAAAAATTGAAAGGTTGGCAAGTATGACTGTGGTACGTCTATTTTGATCAAGTATTAAATCTGAACTACTGTAGAATATTAGTTTCTGTAAATATGTGATTTAATTGCTGTTAATAGAATCCTAAGCAAGAAAAATATGTAATAATTGATCTTTGTAGATAGAAAAACACTGGGGCCTGTTCGTTTATGCGGAACAACTGATTTGACAAATTTGGGTATAAATCCTGGCAGACCTGCAAATGTTTATGCAGGCCTCTTGAAAGGCTTTGTCAAGGCTCGCCTGAAAGCAGCATCAAATTACTAGGTNAAGGAATCTTTTTTTTCAATTTGGTATGTAGATACTCCTTGGTTCTTAGTTGTGCATGTTAGTTTTTGAGGTTGATCAAAAGACTGATTAAGATGGCGGACAGGCAAATTGATTCAACAGAGAAGAGAAAAGATCAAACTGACATAGAACTGGGGNTAAGAAATCCTTCTGAAATTAGAGATTTCAATTGTATTTTAAAGTTATTAAAAGGCCCTGACCTGAATTTCTTTGGCTTGTGAAATATAAGATATCTTTTTCCACATTTTTTGTATTCAAGACATATTCAACTTTACAAAAATGAAAGTAATATACACTGCAATTCAATTGTAGTTTATTCTTGTTACGTTTCATTGCAAGAATGGTTAAGTCTTAAGTTGGTGTTACATAGCATGTGATCTATTTTTTTCCATGTGATGGCCGTAAACAAAAATTCTTCCAATGTACAGGTAACAATTAAATAATGGAAGTATAAGAGCCTATTGTTTTATTATTAAAGCATGAACGGTCCTGTTTTGCACTACAGTATAAACCAAGGCTTTGGTTGAACATAAATCTATTTTCCCCATGGATATATATCCCCCTTAATTCAAATTTCCACCATAGACAAAGTATTACAAAGTTCAACGAAATAAAAATCAAATTTAAGCTGAGGAAACCAGTTCTGTTTGTGCATGTCTAATACCTTGTCTGCAGGAAAAAATGACAATAATATATGGTTTGCTTTAACAGATGGAGGATGTCCAAGAAAGAGGGCTGGGGTGTGATGGTCTCCCATAGGAGTGGTGAAACAGAGGATACCTTTATTGCTGACCTTGTTGTGGGTCTCTCCACAGGACAGGTAAAACGGCACCATAATCATAATTATCACCGCTGCCATGGAAGATTTGGCATTAGTTTTCATACATTGTCTACTAAATCTCAATGTAAATGGATTGTGTCTAAACTTGATGAATGTATTCTGTTTTGTCAAAAGAAAACCTGAAGTTGAATCGCCAGTTCAGTCAATTCTGGGCATATTTTATGAAATTGCTGCATTCTTATTTCCATGTAAAATTACTGCAGTTTTCTTGAAACTTGGTCAATAAACATGTTTTAGGAAGATTAAGGCCAAGTTTGAAATTCATTAAATTTTATATTCAATAAGCTTAAGGCATTTTGATTGGTCATTTGGTTCTGTGTGATAACTTTTATAAGTATTATTCTAATTTCTCAACACGTTGTCATTGATTATACTATGAGAATAATATACTGAAGTCAAGATCATTTCTGTGCAATAATATCATATATCTCTTGATTTTCACAAAGCCTAGGCAATCTATCCCCTACTTTTGACCAAGTTCCTTTATTAAGGGACAAATGGTAGTAAAGTGCTGATGATCGATAATAATCTATAATTGATTGGTTTGCCGTCTCTGATTCCAATTATCCATTACAAATTCCATAGTCAATATAATTACTGAACTAAGTGTCAAATGTATGCAGTGTCAAGTAGGCATCGAAAGTCATTTCGTTTTTTTGGTTTTTATCCGAGGATTGAGGGTAATGTAGAAAACAGGCTTTGTAATAGTTGCTTGTAATCCGTTTATCATAAAAGAAGGAAATATAATGTGTTAACAGTATTGTCACTTAATATTTATGAGTCCCATAGAATTTTATGTTCATTTTGCAAACGATCATTACTTAAAAAATATGTACATGATCTGTCTCACATTGTCTAGAGATTGACAAATATGTAATAAATATGTTTTTACTGATTTTACAGATCAAAACTGGAGCTCCCTGTAGGTCTGAGAGACTGGCCAAATATAACCAGATTCTTCGCATAGAGGAAGAACTCGGTGCAAATGCCAAATTTGCGGGTGAAAAATTCTGTTTTCCATACTAAACTACTGGGAATTAGATGATTACAGCTGACACTGGCATATTTTTTTCATATCTGTTTTGTTAAAGATGTTATTAAGAGTGTATGATATTTATTGACCGAGGTAATGATGTATGGTTTCTTGAAAAGTGAACATTTTCATTACATTTGGTAACAGTTGCATTCCCCCTAATTCCCATAAAAGCTTTGTCTCAACGTCGCTGTTGAAATTGATGTAATGTGTTTAGCGTAATTGAATGACTGGCAGACTTCCTGGAAATGAACACAAATGAATGTTGCCGATTGTTTTTATCGGCAACAAAATGTTGTAAAATTACGCATTCTCACATTTAGTTCTTATCGTAACAACTAGTTGATGTGAAATTGTAGAGATGTAGAATAGTATATACCCATTTATACCCATCTTAGCTGTATTTAACTCAAGTTCAGTGTTATACAGTGTTGGAGTGATATTCTGTCACCAGTCTTGTGCCAGTACAACTAAACATATCCAGAGTGATGGGCTTGTCCTCAGAGCAGCGATTGTGCTAAGCTTACTTCCTACAATAATCCTAGTTTACTGAAGATGGATAAACTTTTATATGGAAAGGGAGACTGTAACAAGCTTCCTGTAAGTCACAATGATATATTTGAAGCACACTTTGAAGGTGAGACGCCAGAACTGTCCTCTATCCAGGGCCGCTGTCTTTATGTACGAGAGCTTTTACCACCTGTAAACAAAACGTACCAGGAAGTAAAATCAAGCAAAACTTGCCTAAGCTGCTTAAGGTCTAGCAAGTCTTACTCAAGCTGTCTCGGACAATGAGGGAATCTCCCATTTAGTTACAGCAACAAACTGATCCAGCAGTTCTGGTTCTGTAGACAATTAAGTCTAGTTATGTATAATAGTGGGTACCAGTACACTTAAGATTGTCTATTGAAACACCTTGGAGTCAAGTCATATCTGTCTTTAAACCTGAAATCGGTCACTAAGTGATTTGGACTTCTCATTGAACAGATAGTCCATTTATGTCTATATGTCCACATTTGAGGATAGTGTTTTAGCTAAGGTCAATTTTAATCTTTGCTCTACCAGCAGATTATAGTGCTAGACTTTTGACTAGAATATTTGTGAAGTTGTTTGTAAGGGTAAATTAACTGAAGAATATTTGTTAAAAGTTGTTCATAAAAGTTTATTGATTGGAGAATATTTGTCTTATATTGTACTGTACATACTTGCCAAATCTCTCTTGAAGCAAGTCCACTGATTTTTTAACTCTTATTTTGACTTTTGTAATCAACAGATTTCCCATCCTCTTCCATTTTACTGAAATTTGCAAAGAACAACTTATGTAATGGTATTTTACAATATTTGTCAGTAGGAGATCGGTATAAGTATTAAAGTATAAGTATAACAGTTCACTAAAACTGACAATGACCTGCAGACTCAAAAATTCTAATTATTCCCAGTTTCCCCTGCGTGAAAAATTGAAAGGTTGGCAAGTATGACTGTGGTACGTCTATTTTGATCAAGTATTAAATCTGAACTACTGTAGAATATTAGTTTCTGTAAATATGTGATTTAATTGCTGTTAATAGAATCCTAAGCAAGAAAAATATGTAATAATTGATCTTTGTAGATAGAAAAACACTGGGGCCTGTTCGTTTATGCGGAACAACTGATTTGACAAATTTGGGTATAAATCCTGGCAGACCTGCAAATGTTTATGCAGGCCTCTTGAAAGGCTTTGTCAAGGCTCGCCTGAAAGCAGCATCAAATTACTAGGTCTGACCTTATTTGATAAACGAACAGCGGTTTGACCGATTAAACGAAAACGGCCCTGGTTTATACACTGGTCATCTTGACCCTGTGTTATGCTGTGTACACTTGAAGACTCAAAATACAAGAACCTTGTAAATAACATTGATTTTGTGAATGCTCCATGTTATGAACTTTTATTAAATTCTAAGTACAGTAATGTTTGTCATTTTGTTAAGAAGTTTCACTCTTCAAACATGTATATAGGTATGACTGATGAATGTGTGAATGTGACAAGTCTTTATATTAATGTTCATTTTGATTTTCTTTCTAACATTTGTAAATTCACATTGAAGTTATAGACTTCTTGTGCTACTAGTACAGAAAAAAGTGCTTAATATTGTAAATATGAATATACATGTATGAGTATTTTAACATGTTTTGAAGTTTTTGTGCCAAAGTGGAAGTTGAAAACTTGAAAAAGTATGAATGTCAAACAGGGGAGCATCTCATGCAAGACTTCAGTAAAACCATTGGATGTCCGAGTTTCAGGGCAGTTAATTTTTGATATATATGTAGGGAACAGATGGTTACCAATAAACACACTGTTATACTGTAAAATTGGAAATTTTCTACTGGTCCAGTTATTTCCCATTTTTGAAGTTTTAACCTTACCAGCTGAATAAATATGTTACAGGAAATTTCCACTTTTATTGTACCTACCATCTATGATACTGATGTACATTTTCCCCTTTGTAGAATACTGTACATCTGTATCTAACACTACGAATACAGGGTCAATTTACAGGGTCATGCATAACCTTTTTACCACTTCCTTGAGGTGAACAGATGGTTCGTGAAGTCTTGTTTGATCTGCTTGCATTGCATGATTTGTGTATATGTGTTATATGAATAAGTTTATTCGAGGTGAATTTCCCGAGAGACCTCCAGATATTCCTGGGTGTAGTAATGTATGTGTATGATAATTATAAGCTGGTCGCTTAAAACACTCTTTAGTTTAGGAGGGATAATGAGACTCGAAATTGGTCTTCTTTTTGGCCATATCTTTTTTTTTTGTTACTTATAAACTTGATTTGTTGACAACACGCCTATTAATTATCAACGTGAGCAGTCTTTAAGTCCCTCGTCGCAGTTGAAAACAGGTCGACACTTTATGTATTTACGGATCAAGACATTTAAATGTTTGTATATATTTTACCTGGTTAATCAGGTGCCATTTTCCACACAGGAACAGACACACTTATTAGGTTTCTTGCCTTGTGATCTCGCATTGTCTATCGAGATTAAAATTAATGACATTCTGCCATAATGATACGTTTTTCTAAGCTGTCTCCTTCTGAATCTCATTTTTGTGTACATACATATATTTGTACAGTAATTCAATACCCACAAAGTCCCAATATCAAGTAACGTTTCATTTTCTGTGGGACAATGATATTTCCTTTGGGGTTTTTTAACAGCTGTTTTGTTTAACCATGCTTTGAACTACTAAGTGTTAAATTAGTTATATAGAAAAGGGTTTATTGACAGAATACTTGACTCCAGGGTGCACACATAGTCATATAGATATGTCGATGATAAGCTTAATTTGAGAGACATTAAAAAAATTCATACCAACACCACACCAACGTTTTTCATTATTTATTGAATTGTATTGATATTGTTTTCAATATCCTCTTGTTTGAATTAAGCTCATGTGAGGAACATTTATGAATGATGCTGACATTATATTCTATATTCAAGGTCTTCCAGGTACTTCTGTGAAACCAATAGCCCTTTAGTCTTCAATATAATTGAAGGTCATTTATTTTAACAAACTTGGTAGCCCTTCATCCCATCTTGTTATGGGCCAAATATCATCATCCTGCAACTTTTTGTTATTCAGAAGTCATTTAAAAGTTTCAAACATATTTGACCCCTGTGACCTTAAATATAAGTCAAGGTCATTCATTTGAACAGACCTGGTAGCCCTTCATCCTAATCTGCTACTGACTAAATATCAACATCCTGGGCATTTTGGTTATTCAGAAGAAGATGTTTAAAGGTTTCTTTACATATTCGACCCCTGTGACCTTGAAAATTGGTGAAGGTCATTTATTTGAACAAACTTGGTAGCCCTTCATCCCCGTTCGCCTCTGGCCAAATATCATCACCCTAGGTATTTTGGTTATTAAGAAGTTGTTTAAATAAAATATTGAAGCTGGACGACAGACGGACCGACGCTGAACCACGGCACGAGTTCACTTGGCCCGAGATAACAAGTGAAAATCCCTTCAGACGTTCAGTAGCCTTTTCAATGTCATGTTGACCCTGGACAAGCACACCACCTTTTGGACCAGATGAGCTCAAAGCTTCACATTTCTAACACCAACAACAACAAAATAACGTTCTTGGAATCATATTTTATTGATTTTTTTTCCAGTTATTTATTGTTTGCATTTTTCATTTTTGTTGTTAATAATCTCCATGAGATCCTTTGATATAGCAATGATCCACTTACATACACGACACTCCACACACGAATCACAACCTCACATAAAACTTTTACACACTTACTATGATACATGTGGAAGGCAACATTTAAACATAAAACATTTCACATTCATAAAGCTCTAATCATCATCATACAATTTAAAGTAAGAGAGGATTCAACGGTGTGTAAAATTTCTGATGTAGCAAGACTTATCTTGTGCACAAAGTGTATACCGGTATCTAGATATAACTTGTTATACGAAACAGACATCACACAGGGATCTTGGCACCCACTCTAGTAAGATCTGGATGAAAGTTCTCAATATCTGTTGGAGTGAGTCATAATAACAATAAAATGCATCACGTAACTTTTGATCAAAACGTCATGCTGCTGTTTGACTGTTCTCTTATTTTCTTGCAGTCATATTCCTCTTCTGTTCAAGCAGCTTGGAGCTCAGAATGAAATACATATAAATGCAAGTATAAGGAATAGGAAGAATCCCCTTATGAAACTTGAGGAGACACTTGAGAAATAGCAATAACAAACTTGAAATATCAAAATCATAGATGACCAACAGAACATCTTGTTCTTCGAGTCGGTCCCAAACAGAAACTTGCACAACTAAGGACCATGTAAAAGGGTTTGGATTTTCAGGTTTGGTAGTCAAGGAAACTGGTTTTTGACTCTTGAAATGCATCCTAAGAATTTCTCTTGTCAAAATTATGTTTAATGTGATTGAAGAGCTTGATACCTCTCTAGCTTATACTGGTTCTGTAGATATTTTGATATGTATTGTATATACGCTCACATTTACCTGTGACATCCATCATAAGAAAATCAATTTGGAATACAGTGTTCCTCGAACAATTAAACTGAATGAATCTAAGTATACAATTTACACAGAGGATTACCCAAGCAAAACACATATACCCAAAGTCCCTCATACACACATGTTAAACAGATATACTCTTGGTCTTGCATACATATGTAACCTGCACACCCTCACTCACTCACTCACTCACGCACACACACACGTTCAACGCCTATACTCTTGGCTTACACACACATGTAAAACACATGTACCTTTCCCACTTCCATCACATATGAACCACTCACATTGCCACACATACGCACCACGTTATATTTTACAACACCATATGAAGCAGACATGGTCTTCATTTTATCACCTTTTGACAAAATATATCATGATATTGCATCACAAAACAGATGAGTACATATCTTAACGAGTTACAATAGATGGATGCTGAACGAGTTACACAATAATATTTACATTTCTTTGTACCTAAACAAACCCACCAACTCAAAATGTTGGTACAAAAGTATGACAATAATTCATTCACCCCTGAAATTTCATAATGTACTATTCCAACCTTTGAATGGGAAGAGTTCAAATGTGTCTTCAGGGGTAAATGAGTTAAAAACTAAAATAAGGAAATAATTTCCAATTGTGTCATTCCATATCACTGTTATTGTGATGTCAAATTCAAGTTTTGAAAAAAATTCCACAATGGTTCCAATTGACAACTATTAAACTGACAGATAATGTAACCATAGCAAACACCACCTTGTTCCCCAAAAAGTTAATAATAAAACACCCCTCAATGTATCATAAACCAAAAGAAATGATAAAATAAAATGTTCTTTATATAACATTTTGGATATACATTTAAGGATTTAAATGCAGATAAACTACTTAAATCCTTAAATGTATAAACATGTTTAAGTTTTATGTGGTGGATTCCAGATACCTGATTGGAAAAAAAAAATGTTTTTATATTTACTGGAAACTGATCACACAGAGCTAGAGCCATCACTAAGCTGGCTGTGTTTGCTTGGTGTAAGTTACACAACCCATTCCCAGGGAAATCACCCATAACAGTGACACTATATACCGCAACTAACATAAAAATCATAGTTATCTTTAGCACTTTGTTATGTTATTGTCAAAACCATCTCGCAGCATAGTCATATCAGAAAGTTTACTGTAAAATCATTCTTTGCCTGGTTTTGTTTTTGTCTATTCTACCAACTTCATTTTAACAAGTTAGACAATTTATAATGTGACCAAAAATGTTACTAGAAATTGCCAATGGTACCACCTACACATTCAATGCTGGGCAATTATATTTTGAGAAGCCAAAAAGTAGATATTTTCCTATGACAGAAATATTAGTTTTTTACAGTGAACAGCTTGTTTACATGGATAGGCTAATGATATCATTATACAAGGAAGGGGCTAACAATAACAAAATACCATGTGTAATATATGTACATTTACTGCTCACGAGCAGAATTCATCACATTTATCTAATCGAAAATACAAATCACAACCTTTTCATGATGAATTTGATTAAAAAAATTCCAAATATAATAATTTGATATATATAAAAAAAAATCCAAATATAATAATTTGATATAAAAAAAAAAAAAAAAACATATTAAGTATCATATAAGAATTATATTCTACAATCATCCTGTAATTCTAGAATAGGTTTCTGTTCTCTGAATTAATCAAAAATAATTATAAAGGGAATACTGAAAAGTCTACATATAATTCTACTAAATCGCCTGAACGCTGAATCTTTGCTCTTTCTTGATTTAAACCGGACCACCTGTTGTTGTAAGCTACATCTCAGACTCCCCAGTATTAATTGTAATTTGGCAAAATATACTTAAATCTGTGACTGTATAAAACAAGCAAATGTACACATACCTTAAGGTAAGTATAATGTCCATGTACGATGATATTGATTATTATGCAATTTGAAAATATTGACCATGTAATATTAAGAAGATTTTCCAGAAAACTGATGCTAAAACTACAAATTAAAGTATTCACAAAATATGGAATGATGTTTGGGTTTCTGGAACAGATTTTTATGTACATACATGTATGAACACACGTGTAACAGGTGACAGTTGTATCAATCTACGTAAGGAGAGGACAAATCTCATCTGTTACACAAGTATGTCACATCCAACGCTAACAATGTCACAGAACAGATATTCTTCATAATGTTGTGTCTATTGTTATATTGCAGTTATGGTATATACGTTATGATACTATGTACAATGTTGTATTACAAAAACATCACAATGTATACATGACAGTGTTGTCTTACAATGTGACAGTGTTGTCTTACAATGTGACAATGTTGTCTTACAATGTGACAATGTTGTCTTACAATGTGATAATGTTGTCTTACAATGTGATAATGTTGTCTTACAACAATCTGACAATATGCAATGTGCTACAATGTATTACAATACAACAATGTTGTATTACAATAAAGTAAGACAATGTATTACAATACAGTACAACAATGTTGTATTACAATAAAGTAAGACAATGTATTACAATGCAACAATGTTGTATTACAATAAAGTAAGACAAGTTTGTATGTATAATGTTGTATTACAATGTGTGAAAATGTTGTATTACAATTTATATTTACACTATTGAAGAATATTGTTGTAAAGTGTTGCCCTAAAATGTTATAATACAAACACCGATGTATACCAGTAATAATCCATAAGATTGTCTAATGACCTAAAAACTCCACAAAATTCATCATATTCAAAGCGACACATATTTAAATCGTGAGGACTTACACAAACAAAGTAGACCAGTAGATGTTAAACAATGTTTCCTATAATGCTTTGTATGTACACAGACTACATATGATAAGTTTCCAGATTAACACACACAGAAATCATTATTTTTTCACTTCCATCAATGAAACATTTTATATACATGTATATATACACCAATCATTACTTTCATACACAAAAATATACTCACTTACCAAGCGTAAACTCACTATGATTGCTCTCTCAATACATCAGCACAGGATTAAAAAGATGAAAGCTGACATATAAATATATTAATCACAACCACATCAATATAACCAGCCATCACAGATATTTGGGATGTAAGCCCTCGCCCCTTGTCCCTTGAGTATGATAGGTAAATATTCTATATATATGCATTTCATGCAATTCTACAACTTAAAATAATTCCTGTTCATAAAAATTTTGGAAAAATTTAAGAACTCAGTAAGTTCACCAGATCAACTCAATAAAATCTGACTTGTAGACTATACGTGTATATTATTTACTAAACATTTCATTTTTTCTCTTTTTCTCGTTAAAAATAACTTTAAGGTAAAATGTATTCTAGTTTCCATTTGGGATATGTTATAAAATAACCAGTTTGGATATGCTATAATCTAAGTACAGACTATGTAAAGAAGACATATTAACATAAGCAGTGCGTTTCTGAATATTTTGTAATTTTCTTAAAAACATTGTGTACAAATATTATACTTAACAAAAAATAAAATGTTATTTAAACTCAAAAGACTGAATCAGTACATTTGATTTTCTAACTCAATCCTTGTTCACAAAATAGCAACATCTAATATCAAACACACAATTTTGGTGAAACTCTCTTAATGATACAGCAAGATGCAGGAAATACTCCAAAAAGTAAAATATATTGCAACATTTTTTGCCAGAAAAAAAAGTTTTAATTAGTTTGTGTGAACTTTTAGGTACCATCGTCTATCAGAAGTATCAGATGGTTTAAGAAAACTTGAAACACAACTTTTTGCGGGCTATGATATCTGTTAATGGTAAAATCTTACATTAAATCTTTCATAAACACCTTATAGGCCAAAAATGGTGTTAATTTCACATGTATTAATGAGATATCACCCCCTACCCCCTACCATCCTACAACTCAAATTAAAGCTAATAGAACTTCCTGTTAAAACAGTGAAAATAAAAGATAACTAACAAAAATGCATGTGTAAGTGGACCAACTTGATCCTGGATAAGAAACTAATAGTCAATACTAAACTTATTAACCCTTTCACCCCTATGTAACATTAGTAAACTCTACCATACATTGATCTGGTTGAGTCAATTTCGGTCTACAGTGGTGAAAGGGTTAACCAATTTCTTTGTAGATGTAAGAGACAAAATATATATAATAATCCAGTTTGTCAAAAGCTGACAAAGACAATACATTATTTAGCACCAAAAATGAAAAGTTACCACAGATGGCACCGTCTTGACAACAGCAAATGAAAAATTTAACAATTTTCACACTTATGAAATTTGATTTAGAAAATCAATTTGGCAGTATTAATAAAAAAAAATGTTGCACTTCAAGTTGCTTGAAAGATACGTACACATGAGCTGAAATATATCTTGGAGATAACTTAGTGAACTTTCCGTATTAGAGATACAGCATGTATCTTGACAAATGTGGAATGATGACTTCCATATGACATGCATATATGCTATCTTTTAAGTGATATCTATATGCACCAATTTCCAACAAGGATTCCATAACACAATAAAGAAAATAGATTTCATGAAAATAAAATCAAGAACAGACAAAATAGAAGCAATGTAGAGTATAGCTACATAACAAATTATGTACGGCCTCGGGACGAGTCTTAGTTTGATTTCCTTCAGTAATATATCAGATAACATTGAAGACTAGTCCATATATAGCTTCAAAACAAACATCCACATTAATATTGCAAGCAAATAGTCAGAATGAACAAATTCCTCAAACAACAGAATTTATTTTAGACTTCATCAAGTCTACAAGTTCAAGATTCATATGTAAATTGGTCAGTGTCAGAATCAAATCAGCTTTAAATTAAAACCCACTGCATCTTTCAGATAGTACTTTTGATTGACAGGAAACAGAAACTATATGAGATACAATGGTTGGAAAGATGTTAATTTATAACATCTATATGTATCTGTTGTCTTAAATCATACCTTCATTTGTTTGCAAATGTTGTTTTGACAGAGGTCAATCAATCAACAAATCTATTCAGTATTTTACACATGATTAGCTATTAGAGATATTCAGTTGCCCGATACAGAAATATTTGTCGTGTGTTTGAAATACATACTAGTAGTATCCTATTTGACAAAGATATATATTAACTCATTCACTCCTGAAGACACATTTGAACTCTTCCAATTCAAAGGTTGGAATAGTTCGTTATGAAATTTCAGGGGTGAATGAGTTAATAGTTATCAAAAATATACTTTTATCTTTTTTGCATTAATCTAGAATGTTTGACACATAAATACACATCTGGCTGTTTGAAAGATATCTAATTGTTTGCAATATATATATATATATATATCCAGTGTTTTCTTCCAAATATCCAGGTTTATTTTGCAGATATTCATTTACTTTGACAGATATCTGTTTTAAATCAAATACATACATTTTTGCACTATTATGAATTTTCAATTATGAGGTGAGAGTTTCCCCTTAAGGTACCCCATCCATCGTTGGGCCGTTGTTTGGAACATTGGGTCCTCGTCAATGAGACTGAGTAAGAGAAGTTGATTGATGTGAACTGTGTGATAGTCCCACCGTGCCCTGTTGGGTGCCACACCGAGGGAAATATGTTTCAGGTCGTAAAACGTCCCCGTACCACTATCATACATAAGTAACATGTTTTTTAACGTCTGCATGCCGGCGTTGTATAACTTCGCAGCATGTGCTGCTGTTTGACCAGAGGACACAACTTTCAAGTCATATAATCCAATGAGAGAATATATGAATCCGTTTAACACGAAAGTACCTGGCGTTGTTGGGTACTCCTCGTACCAGTCATACGTATTTGCAAATTTTTGTAACACTCCTCCTTCGGAGCTTGGAATTTCGAAGATGGCGAGAGCCTTGGCAGCACTTTGTAAGTATTTGCTGTCTTTGGTGACACTATAGGCCCGGACTAACAGGGAGATGGCCTGGCCTTGCCCCATAGCCGAGTACCAACCCGGCTTGAGCTCCAATTTACCTGGAATTATTTTACGAGTCACTTGTATTGGCCAACCACCTCGAGAATCCTGATAGTTCACAAGATAATTTGCTGCATCAAAAAAGTGGTCCATGTGGGCCTCTGATGATAAAGTAATGTTGTCTACAAAGCCGTGGCCACGGAAACACACAGCCACGATTTTTGCAGGTGTCAATTTCACTTTGCCTCTTTTGCTTTTGGCAAGTTTCAAAATCTGACCTTTGTCGTAGTCTATAAGCACCTTTCGTGTCAGATGTATCCATTTTCCTTTCTTTGATGAACCAATTCCGTAATAGAGGTCACGATCTTCCAAGGTCATGGTTGTGTTGCTGAGAACATAATGTATGCGGAACAGATTGCCCTCGTTAGTCCGTAGGAGTACAGTGACACTCCCGTTGTTGATAAACTTGACATCTATAGAGAGTGTGCTGAGGTTGTGATCCTCAACTGATATGGTGATTCCAGGGTTTTTAAGCAGGTCTACAAAATAACAACATTACTCAAATTATACAAATTATTGATTCTGTCCATGTCATAAGCCATTTTGTTTAAACAGATACAAATCAAAGAGAAAGGGGATGAAAGACAATCCTTTTTGTACTTATCCTCCGGTCTGTGCTGTTTTAAACAGGTTATTCTCAAAATACAATGCTGATAACAAGATCAAGTTCAATATGATCACATCCAATTAACCCTTTCACCACTGTAGACCATAATGGACTCACTCAGATCAATGCATGGTAGAGTCTACTAAAGTTACATAGGAGTGAAAGGGTTAAAACATGACATTCTTACTGCCATAATAATAAAATTTAATATCTAATCAAAATAATTTAATATATATCAGTTTTTATGTCAGATAGCAACATATCACATATTTTCATATTTAACATTTATAAATATAACAAACAATTGTGTACACAGGTCTCTCAGATATTGTAGATTATCAAATGTGATGCATTGAAGCATGTAAATACCTGGGGTGTCAAATTCTATGAGGTTGTTTTCCTCATTGGTGCGATCCGTCTTAATGGCAATCTGTGATCGTCGGTCAGGGAGGAGCCAGGTGTTAAGATCGCCCCCTTCCCCATCCTCCAACACCACCCTTTGTGGACTTGGTTCCATCAACTGCTTGCTGTAGTGACTCAAACCATACTGAGCGATCTGTATCGGGTAGAAGTGACCGTTGCGGTTCCATTGGACAGACACTGGTACGCCTACAATACATTACAACATTCTCATTAGTTCCGACACACCCGGTTGTGTAATGTTCTCCGGTGAGAGCTTTCAGTTGGTTGACACACCCACAGAAATGTGTGTAGTGCTCTCTGGTCGGAGCTTTCAGTTTATTTCATCCATTTCAAACACCTAATTTCTATCTTCAAGTCACAAATTATTGACACATTCGAAATGTTTGTAATGTTCATAGCATGTACTAAAAGGCTAGAAAAACAACAAATACTACATTTTCAACCATTCCAAAATTTTTATACTGTTCCAGTGGTTCATTTTACCTTATTTTTACAACAACCTGTTCTTTTTTAAATTGGAAAAATATAGCATTATTTTTTATTGAAATGGGGAATATAGAGTGCCTAGTCCTCATTTTTGGTAATTTGGGAAAATAAGGCACTTTTTTGCTAGGAGAAACAGCCTGTAATCGGCTATAAAACTAAGCAAAATAATCACCGTGTCCGAGCTTTTATCTACCACCCGTCACTAGATACGATTCGGCCTGGATGTATACCTACCCTCAATCCCACTGATACACTTGACTCGTCCCCTGTCCTCCACGTTGTAGAACTCAAAGGACATGAAGACTCCATCCGGTGAGTAGCTGTCTCTCGGAGGGTGGATCTGGGAATAACTGTGTTGTAATTCAAATCTGTCATAACCGTCATACGAGTTGATGGAACCATATACCTGTACAACAATACAATATACATCATATGTTGATACAACAATAAAATATATTATAGCAATTGTAATTAAATTTTTCAATTGCACAATTTCAGGGGGTTTTTTATAAGAATTTTACAACAGCCTGTTCCTTTATTAATTGAAAAAAATAGCATTATTTTTACTGAAATTGAGAATAAATTCCTTCTTTTGGTCATTTTTGGGAAATAAGGCACTTTTTAGCCAGGGGAAAAAGCCTTTCAATATTTGGATGTAAAACCGAGCAAAAATCATCTCTGAATTATATTAACTTGGTAATCTTGTTTCATCATATGTACAACCCATACCCTACAAACATATGACTACACCCATTATTTAGTAGAAAAATTCTTTAATAGAAATGTAGTATTTGCAATATACAAAAAAACTAAAAGAAGGCAATGACCTTATTATGCCAAAAAAAAAGATGATCTTTTCTACTTGATACAGAATGTGGCTAAAAGTACAGAGATTGAAATTAAATATTTGAGAGTTAATAACTTTAAAATTTGAGATTCTGAATTCTGCATCCGACAAACAAATTTAAAGAATATGAAATTATCTCCCTTTAACCAATAGAATCCACCTATAATATTCAATCACCAAGGGTTGTCTTTCTTTGCACTCGATTCACTCTCTCTGCCAAAGCTGAGAATCTGACAAAACTTAAAAAACTTTTTCCATTCCCCCCCCCCCCCTCTCACTCTCAGAAACAGTTTCAGGTCAGTTTTAATGAAAAGTTTGGCTTTAGTCTATGCCAGGGGTATAAGATTGAGAACAGTAATTCTAGAGTTGAGATTGCTTTGAGACTATGAGCAAGTAGAGGCTCACACACTGAAAGACTACATAGTTATCTTTGTTTGAAATATTCATGGATCTTTTCTGTGTATACTGCTGGTAAGTGTGAGTTTATATGGTGCATGCTTTCTCTAGCCTATCGTTAGAAAGAGGCAAATCAATATGAAGTACTTAACACGAAACATGCGTTGGAATATTGGTAATCATTTGTTAAAAAAAAGGTATAAATGGAAAATACTAAAATCAACATAGACTTATATAATATTATTGATATAAACACTGGTGAATTTAAGTGATATTGATCACATTTTCTGTCCTTTCTGTATCAACCTACCGACACGGAGAATTGACTCAACAAGCAACGGGCATTAATTGACAGTAATTGTTATATTTGCTCCTGGAATCGTTAAATTGATAAACCAGTAAAAAAAGAACCTGCAAACAGGTACAGCTGCATTGTAATGTAATGAATATCTTGTATTGATGGATATTAACAGATATCCTCATTGATTAACTCATACACCTCTGAAATTTTATAATGAACTATTCCAACCTTTCAATTGGAAGAGTTCAAATGTGTCTTCAGGGGTGAATGAGTTAAGGGATGTAATGCTGTTGAGTTTGAGAATATATTGAGTAGTATTCTCCCGTCATAAGCTTACGTATCAAGTACCAGGCCTTCATTTTTAATTGTCCTATTTGCTTGGGTTGCACAATGCAGAAACAAGTTCTGTAATAACGGAGTGTTGATTAATGGTTATACTCAGAATTAGTTCTAAAAAAAATCTAAAAAAAAATGTTGGTGATAAATCTGTAAGTGATCTATAATGAGTGCAATTTTATTCCATCAGTCTCTTTTCTATGAAAATCAATCACAACAACAACACTGGTAGTTACCTCAAAGTATCTCTGTACGAAGGTAAAGGGTAGGTACACCTCTTTGTCCTCCAGACGACCTTTGATGGAGTAGTCGCCATTGACTACACACTCGATCTCCTTGTACGTTAGGGGACCCTCCTCTGCAGTTTGGCCGATTGCATTTACATCTCTGTGCGGGATGCGTGCGGAAGAGTCAAACTTATCCACAGGCCCTCGATACTGCCCATCCCTGGGAAAAAAACCATTGAAATTTAAAAGCAATTCCAATTTACATTTTTGTAGTACAAATCTTTTCATTGAAGGATTTAATTTTTTTTTTTAATACTCAAGTTTTATTCAAACTGCAAACCTTCAGAAGAAAGCCTAACAATATGAATGAATATCCTTCTTTATCTTCTAATGCACAGACACTTGATTTTCATCTTCAAAAGTACATTGCTCACAAAGAAATTGATCAAAGACGGTTGATACATTTAAATGTAAAAATGTGCAATGTTTATCAGATCAGAGGTTCATTTAAATCAATGTATGTACCTGAATACTTTTACCTATATGGAGGACAAACTTGCTAGGGACATGAAATTCATTCATCATCACATGTAATCACACAATAATAAGCCTCTTACGTAGAATTTAAGGTTATATATGCTATGGATACTTCTGAATTCATGCAATTTCATGTAAGAGTTCCTTCCCTTAATTTGTTTTTAATTTGCATTTTCCGGTACCTATCAGTATGGCAGGAATATTTAAAACATTTGTCATTTACTTAACTGTGAGTCAGTATCTAAACAGTAAATAATAAAATAACAATGTTTTCTTGCACTATGATATCAAGCAGTTATTTTTTTATTGTGGATATTGCGGTTATATACCAAGTAACACATAACACAGACATTTTATAGAGAATCCAGGTTTTCCTGTATGATGTGTTACAGGTTTTGCTTCGCCACATGTGTTAACACTCTGCACATCTATCAGTGAGTACATGCTAGAAAATGTTTGTTCTACACAACTTACGTTCCATATATATTTTTAGAATCTGACCACCTGAGATAGCTGCAGATAATATGATGTCTGACACAGAAAAATGTTCAGCAATGTAATTATTCTTCTCCTACACTTGCAGCAGACAACTATATGTATGAACATGAACGTATTATTTATAATTACTTATCCAACGATGTCAAAACAGCCCGACGTAAACAGTTGTAAGCATGCACCAGTGATATTACACTTATTATGACACAGCATGAACGATCAACTATGCTGCCTTTAATACACATTTTGTCTGACATCTGATTCTGAATAGAACTAACCGGAGAGTACTACTATCTACACTGAAACCAGACACCCGGATAAACATTCCTTCCTTATTATCTTATAATTCCAAATAATTAATTCATGACTTTTATCAATACGTTCATTCTAGCATAAATTTTAAATGTGTTTTTAATTAAACAACAAAGTCTTAAATATCATTCATGAAGTTATTTTGAATGGTGCCCTTTGCAAAGAAGTTAAGCATACAGTACAGTAATTTGTCCTTAAAATAGTAAATCTTATTGTTTCACTATGAATTCAATACTCCTTAATCTACACCAGGAAATCTCTCAATGTGGGTTACTTCACATGACACATCTTACTGTGATGTCAAAATAAAATGGACTACATATATATAGAGACTGTCACATGCTACAAACATTTGCTATTTGGGGTTTTGTATCCTTGATTTATCTAAGGTTATGTGTATATGATTATATTATCACACTGATGTCTGTTGTTTATTTTAACATTCCAATAAAATATATCATAAACTGATTGATGATTAATCAATATTTTTTAAAAACCATTTCAGCATTGAACTGTCATACCTGCTGAGTAGATTACAGGAATATTATGTAAGTGGCAGATATCAGTATGTTATTTATTGATCTGTGTGCAAAAATTCGTTCAAGTCAATTTATCAGTCAGGTTTTTTTTGGTTTTTTTAAATGACTTGTCCAAACAGATAAACTTGAACAAAAATAATGAAGTTCATGAGTGGACAGTTATACCTGAAGTTGTCATCCAGCCTGTTGAGATCACATTGGCCCCAGTGGTACATGGTGATGAGGAATGGTGTGCCCACCATCATCAGTACCACTAACTTCAGGCTTACACGCGGGGCCATCACGTCCTAGCCCACAGCCTGCAAATACAAAGTAGATGATAGACATATTATTAAGGCAATTAACATATATTTGTACATATGTTTGATATCTGATTAATAAAGCCAATATTTTGAAACTACTTCTGGTATCCAATAAGATTTTTGTTCAATTTCTATTTCTTAACTGCAGACAAATCTAGCAAAAGTGATAGGCTGATATGTGTCCTGTTTCATTAAAAGAAATTGAATCATTTTATATCCAAGTGATTATTATTAAAATTATGTTTACATGTTATTTACTCAGGGAAGAATGTGTTTTTTCTCGTTTAGTTACATTTCATGTTCATGTTGCATATTTGTAATATGTGATCTGAAAAAGTAAAAGTAATAACAAGCCATCAAAATTAATTAAAACTATTTGATATTATGACAGGACCAGGATAATAAATAGGGTGGTCAGGTGGTTCAGTGGATAGCGCATCCTTGCGTAAGACAGGCAGGGTTTGACATCCTGATCAGAGATGAAAAGGTATTCGGTATAACCTGCCCGAACATACTGGTTTCCTCCAAGTAATATGGTACCCTCCCCCATTAAGAACCCCTGCACATTTGTATCCTGGCCAACAAAAGTGATTAATATAAGGTGACAGAACATGTTTCATAATTGTTGTAAAACAAAAAAGGTTACTAAATACAAATATATAACAGGGTGCACTCTTCGTTTCATTAACCTCATCTAAACCCTATCATGGATGCAGTTCACTCTTCATACTATAAACCACATCAAAACCCCTATAGACCTTAATTAGCCTGGAAAACACCATGTTCCCATCATGTCCCTCTCTCGTCTAATCAAAATACTATGCTCAGCCAAGAACTTACATTCACCTGGAAACACAAGATACACATAATTAGGGCCATTACCATCACCTGGAAAACTCTCTATCTAGGGCGAGATTGTTATCAATTTGTTACCCCAACAAACTAAAACACACTCACACAAGCTTTTAGTGTTTCTAGTCATCAGGTAACTATATTGAATCAATACACAATAATGTATTTATTGACTTATAAGTTATAAATGAATTTCAATAGTATTATTTTAGCCAGTAAATAGAAATAATATTGATATAAAAAGTCTGAATTAAGCTGACCAGACTTTAACACCACAGCCCTGATAACTGGAACCATCAGTACCAAATTCCTATTCTGGAAAAACAGGAGGTTTCTCGATCAGAGTAATTAGCTTGATTACAGCTTCCTCGAAAAACGGGTGATAAATTTACCACCCAGGAAAAAAGTCAAATATGTAGGAGCTCCCCTCCCAATGATATCTATTGTAGATTACATACATGTAATACAAATATATGGGCTGTGGCAGTTGGGATCTGTGCCACTCCCCTATGATAATCATAACCAACTGTATCCCTTAATAATATTTGAAAATGATGTTCAGAACTTCCCTTGCCTGAAAAAAACTTTATAAAAATCACTGGTTATACAGGAAAAATCTTCTTCCACAAAAACCCTACCTTTTAATTATTCAAATTAGCAACACAATCGTAAAACAAGTCAAAGTTGTTTGGTTAAAATGTAAGCTTTAATATTTATTTAATACAGTACTGTCCTAGTACTTATTTTTTTATTTTTCAACCGTTGTATTTATTGAAAGCTCCAGAATTCTTTTGAAACTGAAAAATAACAATGATAATTCCTACTTTTTTTAAATATTAAAAGAAATACTATCGAATCAGCTGAAACCTCTATAAATTTAGATCTGTGATTGTAGTTTGATAATTCTATTGAATATTTGTACACATAGATAATATGTACGGTAGACACATAAACATTTACTTTAAAGAATGTAATCTGAAACTAACTTTCTTAACAATACATTATTGTAAAACAGGAAAATTATTTTACTAATCAGGCTTGAAAATGAAGCTGGATCACTGTCATGGTAGTGAAATGTTTATGAACCATGTAATGGCCACGAATTCCTCCAAACCAACACTCATACATCAAAGGTGTGTCAACCGGAACCACATCTGCCCAGCAATGTTTCTATTTCTGGCCACAAAGTCAAGCCAATGCAAACACGCTCTATAAATACACAGGTATTGTGATAGATTTTGAAACAGATGGCACACATTTTTGCAACATTTCTAGATGACTATTACTATACCCTTGTACTACAAAGATGCTTTTTTATATCATTTTACTTAGAAGTCATAGATGTATAACAAATGTTATCAGTGGACAACATGCTATTGATCAATCATAAGCAGCTTTTGTACTTCTACAATAAATTAAATTGCATAACACTTAAACCTATGTCATAGATCTATCAATTTTCAGATTAAGGAAGAACATTATGACAAGATAGACCAGATAAAAATCTTGACACTTCAGCACCTGTGTGTGTAGCAAAGTAATGAGATTGTCACTTGGGTCAATGTATGAGAATTTTTATCTGATGGCATTCCGGGTTTTCACAATATGGCCAAGGGCTCTCTGTTGATTTTTTACCTTGATCAATATTACTCGCCCATAATTAGGAATCATCCACATTTTTTTCATTATTATTTACATTAAATAAATTTGAAAGTAATTGTAGTGCCAGTTACATGGATAATGAACCTATTGTCAATATTGACATATTAACTCATTCACCCCTGAAGTTTCATAATGAAATATCCCAACCTTTGAATTGGAAGAGTTCAAATGTGTCTCCAGGGGTGAATGAGTTAATGACAGTTCAGCTTTTTGTTACAACAAATGTTTATCTAACTTAAATTATTGCTCTATGATCCTACAAATTACTTTTTCATATTTTTGTCCATACTTTTAGAAAGTCCATTAACATTATTAATTAATTATTAATTATTGATCATCCATTTACAACTAAATTCATATTAATTCCTATTGCTACAAAGGTCATGACCATGTGATAAGACAATATTATCATGGGCTAGCTATCTTTTAATAGCCTTAATCATGATTCCAAAAATTGATTCTGTTATAAAATACAAGATAAGGTTACATAAAATCGTTACATAATATACAAAACATGATGAAACATAACTATGTCAGAGATTTGTATTTTATTCCATTGTTTTACAACAGCTATTCATATGAAAAGATTTTTAGGTTCGGCACCATTCTGTCTGCGGTCCTAGACCAAGGTTAGTACCTTTTGTGAACTGAATAAAGGGGAACTGTTTTCTCACCCCCTTGGCACAGCAATAAAGAAAATAACTCCTAAATTGGTTGAGTAAAAATAAGATATTTTTATTTATTTGTGCATATCAGCAGCACAAATGCTGCTCTTCAATTGTGTCTGACAGAAAATTGTTTTTAAAATCAAACATTATGCTCAGTGGAATAGAAACATATGTGCTAAACACAGACAAAAACCCCACATATATATATGATGTCAACTAAGTTATTACATATATATTTGTATGTGTCCAGTATAGGTTTAACAGTAGCGTAAAACATACTCGTGACTTTTCTGCGAATCTCTTACCATGTTTTTGAAAAAGAAATCCATAATTTTGAAGTAAAGAGTCTATTTTAAGATGTTTGACAAGTAAAGTCTCAACAATACAATGACTGGTGGTCGTGAAATCACACAGCCTACCAATTCCAAATACACGTGTACACCTGGCAAAGAGCCTATGTCATACATTGTATACACCAAATCAGCTGCACTGTACTGAATGACATTTTTTGGAACAGGAGAAAAATCCAAAACAGCATATGATCTAAACGAAACACAGTGAGTCTGTGTTTGTACTGTAGCAGATAAACCCGTACCACACTGTGATAGAACGCATAAGAAATACGAGTACAGTAGGCCTACAGTACGATTACCATGCCAAGCCCACTGGCACTGCTAACTTCCCCTACCCATGTTTGTTTACAATCAACGTCCCTCAACATCTATACCCAAACAAAAAAATCAACTAAAATTCTGTTAAACATGAAGACGTCTGGAATATATTGACTTGTACAGCAAATATTGTTATCATTATTGTTCATCAACTCCACAAAGCAAGATCAGTAAGATGAACGCACGGATTCGATTTGAGCGAGCAGACAGCACAACGACATCCAAGCCCATTCAATCCCGCGTGGAGAAAGCAGTTGACAACAAAATTCACCTACCTTACATGATGTTTTATCATCAAAGATTACACAATCCAATCCATAACGAAAGCATTTTCGATTAATTAATTAAAAATTCCACATTTCTACTTCAAACACTGAGCACTTCCAAGGCTCGACTGCATGTCACGGGCGTCAATACACATATGAGAATCCTCCTAGGGGACGTAACTCCGCCGGGACAAGCTCTCACCGCCGCAAGATAATTGAGGTCTAGTTTCACAATGATCACGGGACTGACACGAGATTTTCCATAATTGCGGACTTTAGCACTTTTATTTCAAAACAATAATTCTACAAATGAAAACAATCTCTATTCTATATTAATATTTGCTTTTAAAAAAATCAGATTTGATACATTTACAATGTTGATTCGTCTATAGAAAACTAAAACTGTATTGTATAAATTCTAAAACTGGCATTTTATTCAGAGATATGTTATCTAGTTAATTTAAAATGACTTTGACTTCTTCCAAAATAAAGTTAATGAACTGAATTTTTTGAGTGACACCTGGGGTTGACTAATTAAACATCTGGTGAAGAGTTCCAGGTTTTGCCCCTCAGGGCACAGTGTAACGATTATGAGATAATGAATCATTCTCTAATTGATTTCTTTCATTATATTGACATTCCCCCCTTTAAATTTGACAATTACCTTAATTAATGATCATTCTAATTAAACAGACGCATACCTCTTATGCACCATGGACAAGTCTAGTTGTATATTCAGCTTAAATGAATCATTAACTTAGGAGAAAAAAGCAGATTTTTTTTTTGACTCTTCTTTTTAAAAGAAAGTTTACTTTTTCTGTATTTTATACAGAGGTTCTCCGGTATTTATTTCAGTATGTTTGAAACTAACCAAGAAT